CCTAAACTAGCACTCATTTAGTATCATTTTGTAGAACAGAACATTCTTAAAATATTTTTTTCTTCCTAATATTCATCCTAAACTAAAGTAGGACACCTGCATCTATAGCAGATGCTTAAATATTATCACATCTATCTAAAAAACTTTATGGCTACCAAATTTCTGAAGATTGGAGGCTAAAATTATTAAATTGATAAATTGATTATATTTGTGAGGGGGGGGGGGTGTTAGCCCACATACACCTAAGTATATGTTTGAAGAAGAACCGGGTGTATCAAATGTCTAGACATGTAATTAAATTGTTTATATGTTGAAATCTGCTTAATAATTGTTGTTTTGTTTGCGAGGGGATGCCAAGTGGATTGAGAACGGCCTAATGTTCGCCTAGATGAGAGGGTGGGGGGAGGTTGGAAGGGGGGTTTCTAAAGTGGGGGGAAGGGTGAATTAGTGCATATATAGGGTGAGTTAAAAGTATATATAAATCGTAAGTAGTATTCTATAACTCATTAAAACTTAACGGACAGTTTTTTGGAGGGAAATTGTTTTTAATCCTAATTTTTTTGCTCCCCCTCCAGCTCCCTTACCCTGGGTCTCCCTGGTTTCCCTGGTATCCCTGATATCCCTACCCGGCCGGTATAACAGTCAATATGTCAAAATGTTTACAGCCCAGGACGTTGTGCGGTGACGTATGCGGTTCCTCTGGTAATAATACTGCCTCAGGGGGTATCATCACTTAATATTCAAACCAAACAATATCAGGCTCACAAGATATTGCTAAATTTTCCCGCGTTTTTCTCAGGAAGATTGTGTACACAATATTAATAGATAAACAAGATGGATGTCAGAAATGTTCAATTTAGATAAATACAAATATCTCAGGGGCATTTCTTAATTGAGAGATCCATTTCTTAATGATACTAATGTCCAATGGTTTAGTGAAGTATGAAAATTGCGTGACACTATTGATACGAGGGGGGGGGGGGGGAAATATAGCGCGAAATTTCTACTTCCCCTTGGTGGGGAATATACATGCTTTCAATTACACACTATTGTGGAAAGGCAATTTGCATGAATTAGTAATGTATATGTTTACACTACAGTTCAAATAATATTTGTAATTCAGTGCAAATTTATACTTAAACAGACATGGATATTATCTACATACATTTAGGATAAAACAAATATTTACAAAATTTGAATATTCTAAATTATGGAAAATATAATGATTATAAACAGCTGAGTTGGACCAGAGGAACCTTTGCGGTCAGACTAATCAACCATGACGTCATCAATCCTCCCCCCCTCCCATCCTTTCATCCCCCCCCCTTCCTCCGGCATAATACTGCATATAATTTCAATTTCATGTTGTCTGTAAATTATACATGTACAGGATGCAGTGCTTAATCTTCTGACAATAGATAGAAATAAAAACAATGGTTCGTATATATATAAACACTTGTATAGTATAATGGGATTAAAATGAAAGTTTCCGTAATATTAGTATTCAGGACTAACAAAGCCAGGATAAAATTAAACGCAAATTAAAAATCTAATAGATATATAATCCATTCATTGAGTTACTTCCAATCGTAATCTCTCTCCTTATAGTACTATTCATCTATATTCCCCCCCCCTCCCTCTGCTTCCCTCTCTCATCTACCCCTCTCAGTCTCTTTCAGCTTTAAGCAGGCTTATTTTTGAGACATTCCACTGCTACTTTATAATCGGGTGATAGATAGATAGAAAGTTAAAAAACATAAAAAAATTTACTTAAGAAAAAGTTTTATATATAAACGCAAATGAAGATAGATATGCATACAGTTAGATAGCGAGGCCTAAGCACTATATTTTGATGCAATCAAGCCATTTGATCTGACTGCTTCCCCCTCCCTATCTCGTTGAAAAATCCCCCAAATTCTGAACAAAAAACCCCGCAATAATTTTGATTATCTGCGGCCCTACCATGGTATGCGCAAAAATGATTATTACATTTACTCAACGCAGTGTGCATAGAAATATATAATGTTTTGACCCCCGTTTTACGATCTAGGGGTCACTGACCCTCTCTATACCCCCGTTTCTCAGCCTTCTTTTCTTGAAGACCCCTTTTTTTCTTAATTTTTAAAACTTAAACTTTAAATATGCGAAATAGAATGTGAAAACATGTGTGTGACTTATAGCTTTTTACCATTTCTAAGATGTTTTTGTGGGCATCCTGTACAGCAATATATATACGTACTGGGATACCCTGTATTTTGTTGTATGTGTGTATATATATATTTCGTGGGCTGGGGGCGGAGTTTAACTTTATTTATTTCAATCTAAATGTAAGTTTAACATACAATCGTATACAAAGCTTTACTTGTGCTAAATAGCCCCCCCCCCTCCCCCTCCCCTTTCCGCTTTTGCATCCCGCTCCCGCATAAAAAATGTATCTCAAGCGAAGTAGAACCGATATACTGTAAACAAAAGAGACGGAGATGATACATAACAAAACCCTCCCTTATCCCCCCCCCAATGTTCTACGTTCCCTCCCAATGGGGGGGGGGCAGAGAGGGGGGAGAGATAAACCGAATTTTCTTCTCTTCTTGTACCAGTTGGATCTAGGTTACTTGATTTATGCGGCCTAGACCCATCTAATTATAGCCCTGGTTATTCAGGCAAACATTTGCTTTTTAAATATATTTATTTAAACATTTTTAACAATATTTTTAACAATATAACCATTTATTTGGTTTAGATATATTTAGGTTTATGATAGATATAAAGCGGAAGAATTGGCGTCATTTCCTCTGCGTCACTAATTTCATTTGCGTAAACGACGCAAGCCGTGGTTTCTTCAATTGATTCCCCGCTGAGCGATTTTTGTTTCTCAAGTGTGTGTGTATTTATTGTGGGGAGAGAAGATGGGGGGGGGTGCCGCCAACCTCCACTCCTGGCGGCAAACCATGGCACCAAACACAATAGGGAGAAGGAAGGCTTGGAGTAAATAATTTACTATAAAACTTTACACTTATTCTACAAGAAACCCATTTAAAGTACAATTTCGGGATTCCGCAAAAAAAGGAAAAAATGGCGCAAGTATGTTGAGATAAAGTTGCTAGATTTGAAACATTACAATCGGTTTAATATCAGTGGTTTCAAGAATTCACGGTTAGGGGACAAACCAACGATTTAAAATCAATCAAGAATAAATCATCAAAAAATATTTTACTCATTTAAATGACAAAAAATAATCAACAGAATGATTTATAACCACTTTGATTATTTTTTATCTAAGATGTTTAAAAAATTCATCAAATGAAAAGTGAAAAGTTGCGTGTTTTAGGATTTCTATTTCTGCGTGTTTTTCCAGCGATCAAAGTGAAATAAATAGAAATGTAATACATGGTCGCCGTTTAGTTTAGACAATTTAAATGTCACCCCTTTCCGGCTCTCACAGCTGATATATCCGACAGATTACNAGTCAAACACTTGACATCTGAATATTACACTAATTTTCTAATTATAAATGTCTTCTAAAAATATCAAATATACCTCTATACGTGATCATTATATTCTCTCGTTTAAAAAATCAAAATTTGAAACCCTTAAAATGTTTTTTTTCTTCCCAATTTAAAGATAGATTTTGTTCCTTGTATCAGGGGATTGTTTAAAAAACTTTACCCGCCAAATTTTGAGATGACAGGTTTGTAAAACTGTCTCTCGGTTAGTTTTACAGACTTCTGTGGGACCTCAAAAGTATAGCGTAGCGGGCTGATCCAAGTTGGCCAACTTTCTTCAAGTTGGATCTGCCCGCTATGCTCCACCTAGTAATTTTGAAAACCTTAACAAATACACACACCAACCAACTAACTTAGAAACTTTAAAAAAAAGATAATTCTAACATTTGACTTTTACAAATAGATATGTAATCAACATTACAAACTTATAGCAAAGTTATAAAATACATAATATTAATCTTTTTTTTTCATGTTTTTTTTTTGTTCAATCCTATAAATTTATTGTGGAGGTGTATAATCAAAATACGATCTTTAGAGTTTTATTTTAGCAATTTCTTAAATGTAATCAGCAGGTTATATTAGCACATAAATGCTATTTTAATTTGAATAAAGATTTAAATTATTTAGATTTGTTGGGCCGCAATGATTTGCAAAAGTGTGCAAAAATAACTATGATTTCTCCAGCTGCAGCTTTCAAGGAAAATACAAATCATGGATTTTTTTCAGGTTTAATGGGAGAAGGGTTTATTCAAGATTAGGATATTTTAGTGTGGAATAAAAAGTATTTAAAATAGGTGATGGTCGGTGTGGGGAGGGGATATGTTTGAGGAGAAGGGGAATTGAGGGGAGGGGGAATTGAGGGGAGGGGGGAAAGGCCTACAGCACCTGGTTTGTAACGAACCCAAGGCACACCACCTGTACATAATGAGAGTATAAGCTGGGGGGATGGGAGATAGAAAAATGGGATATGATTAATGAGAAGGATGGAAAATAAGAGAAGAAGGATAACTTCCATAGTTTTAGGATAAATAAAACTTTGTTGGGAGAAGAACCTTGTTTCATAAAATAATTATGGACA